CAATGCAATGCAAATGGGAGGGATTGTTTGTGGCAGATTTCAATTGCAATCCTTCTAAGAACCCTTATGCGGGGAATTTCAATATGAAACCTTCTATGGAGGGCGTCGCATGGAACCCTTCTGTTGAGGATTTCAATTTGGATCCTTCTGATGGGGGGGATTACATAGGCATCCTTTTTGGTGGGGATGTGTTATAGGAATCCTTCTGTGAAGCGTTTGAGTAGGACTCGCCAACGCAATGTCAACGCAATGCTAACGCACTGCTAACGCACAGCCATCGCAATGCCAACGCAATGCCAATGCGATGCCAAACCGCTGCCAAACCAATGCCAATGCAATGCCGATGGCGGGATTCCTGTCTTCCAACACATTTCACTAGGAATCGTTATGTGGATGATTTGGTTACGAATCCTTCTTCGGAGGATTTCGATAGAATCCTCCCGTGGAGGGTTTCGATTCGAATCTTTCTGTGGGGGGGTCACTTTGAGTCCTTCATGTGGGGGCGTTCAAAAGTACCCCTTCTTGTGCAATATGTTCATAGGAATCCTTCTGTGGGGGGAGCCATCAGAACTCGCCAGCGCAATGCCAACGCAATACCAACGCAATGCCAAACCAATGCCAAAACGATACCAATTCAATGCCAATGCAATGCCAATGGGGGAAATTGTCTGTGGTCGGGTTCAAGAAGAATCCTTGTATGGAGGGCTTCGAATGGAATCCGTCCGTAAGGGAGTTCAATGGGAACTCTTCTTGTGGGATGCTTCAATCGGAATCCTTCTTCTTGTGGGGGTTCAACAGGAAGCATTATGCGAAGAGAGGTGTTGGAACTTGCCAGTGCAATGCCAGCGCAATGCGAACACAGTACCAACGCAATGCCACACAAAGCGATCCCAACCCAATGCCAATGCACTGCCAATTGAGAAAATCTTTTGTGGTGGATTTCAATCGGAATCCGTCAGTGGAGGGTTTCGCATGGAATCCTTCTGTGGAGGGTGTCAATGGGAGTCCTTCGTGTAGAAGGTTTCGATCGGAGCCATTATGTGGAGGGTTCCATTAGGACTCGCCAGCGCAATGCCAGCGAACTGCAAGCACACTAGCAACGCACTACCAAGCGCAATGCCAACGCAATGCCAATGCGATGCCAAACCATTGCCAAACCAATGCCAATACAATGCCAACGGGGGGGGTCGAAGCATCTCAATATCAAGCAAGATTGTCATAGGAATCCTTCTGTGGGTGGGAGCCATTAGAACTCGCCAGCGCAATGCCAACGCAATGCCAACGCAATGCCAAGCCAATGCCAAAGCGATCTCAATGCAATGCCAATGCAATGCCAATGGAAGAAATCGTTTGTGGTCGGGTTCAAGAAGAAACCTTCTATAGAGGGCGTCGAATGAAATCCTTCCATGAGGGAGTTCAATGGGAACTCTTCGTGTGGGATGCTCCAATCGAAATCCTTCTTGTGGGGGGTTCAACAGGAATCAGTATGCGAAGAGAGGTGTTGGAACTCGCCAGCGCAATGCCAGCGCAATGCGAACGCAGTGCCAACGCAATGCCACCAATGCCAAAGCGATCCCAACCCCATGCCAATGCACTGCCAATGGTGGAAATCCTTTGTGGTAGATTTCAATCGGGATCCTTCAGCGGAGGGCTTCGCATGGAATCTTTCTGTGGGGGGTGTCAATAGGAACCGTTTTTTTGTGGAGGTTTCCAATAGGAATCCTTCTTGTAGAAGGTTTCGATCGGAGTCCTTCGGTGGAGGGATCCATTGGGACTCGCCAGCGCAATGCTTGCGAAAGGCAAGCACACTAGCAACGCACTGCCAAGCGCAATGCCAACGCAATGCCAATGCGATGCCAAACCATTGCCAAACCAATGCCAATGCAATGCCAACAGGGGGTGCTTCCTTTCGAAGCATCTCAATATCAATCCTTCTGCGGGTGATTTCAATAAGAAATTCCATATGTGGGTGATTTCAGTCGGAATCATTCAGTGGAGGGTTTCGATAGGAACCCTCATGTAAAGGATGTCGCTATGAGGCTTTCCTGTGGGGGCGTTCCATAGGAATCCTTCTCGGGGGGAGGGCAGATGAGGCCACGTCGCATTCCTTTTTTTTTCGCCGCCGACCCCCCCCCCCCAAAAAAAAAAAACTGTAACAAAATGCCTGCTTTTTTTTGGGGGGGGGTGAGGGGGGAGAGGAAAAAACGGAGGAGGAGGAGGAGGAGAGGGAGGGAGGCGGAAGGAGAGGAGGACGCCACAGAGTACGCACAGCACTGAAAGACGCACGCGCGAACTCAGTGTGAAAGCCTCGCGCAAGCGCTCTGGAACCCCGAGGGGCTCCACAATCCCCCGTTCTCGAGGGGGAGGGGGCGGGGAGGAGGAGGAGGAGGAGGAGGAGGAGGAGGAGGCGGAGGAGGAGGAGGAGGGAGGAGGAGGAGGAGGAGGAGGAGGAGGGGAGGGGGAGGGGGAGGGGGAGGGGGAGGGGGAGGGGGGGGGGAGAAGTGGAGGAGGAGGAGGAGGGAGGAGGGAGGAGGAGGAGAGGGGGAGCAGGAGGAGAGGAGGAGGAGGAGGAGGAGGAGGGGGGGAGGAGGAGGGGGAAGAGGAGGAGGAGGAGGAGGAGGTGGAGTGGGCGAGGAGGAGGAGGAGGAGGAGGAGGAGGAGGAGGACGTCCGCACTGGCGACCGAGGACGTTTGCCCGCCAGTTGTGATGCCGACGATCGTTTCTACAGTTGGGTCAGAGCAGGAAGCGGTACCCATAAAGCTACATCTTCCGCGTTTTCCCTTTGCCAGGCCTCTTGAACGGCCCTCGTCGCCACGGTTGGTGGGTTTCTCAACAGTTGGGCCCACGTCGCAGGCAGTCTGTTCGGGGCCAGCTCCTGAAAAGTGCATGGCAGGGCACCGTGATTAGGGCAACCGATCTCGCCACGTAGACCCCACCCTTTTTTGTCGCACGTGAATTTGCTCTGTCAGGGTGGTTCCCCCTTCGAGAGCCACCTGACAGAGCAGGCGTGATGGCGGTCGAGGGTACCCACGGCTTGCTAAATAGCTTATCCGAGAGCGACACCACGTATGGGCAGGCTGCTTTAGGCGTGCGCATGCATTGAGATGCAATGCAGTGCACCACGTGGTAACGCAAGGCGTAGCATTGCGTAGCAGCTCCTAGAACATTGCGTCGGGTCGCATGGCGTTTCGTTACGTGGCATAGCATGTCATCATGTCATGGCGTAGCACAGCATTGCATAGCGGTTCGTATCATTGGAAGGTATTGTATCGCATGGCATTGCATTCCAATGTACGTTAGTTGTGTGTGTGTGTTTGTGTGTGTGTGTTTGCCAGCTTGTTGTGCAAAGTACGTGATGCAAGCTACGTTGCGTAAACAATGCCGTATAGGTGTAAGCATGGCGATGCAAGCTATGTGGTTTAAGTCATGCGGTGCAATCTACGTGGAAGTCTATGCGTTGAAAGTTGTGAGGTGTAAGCTATGTGGTGTAAGCTACGTGGTGCCAGCCATGCGGGAACACCTATGGGGTGCAAGCTATGCGGCTGCCCAACAAGGCTTCAAGACGGCCCAAGAAGCCCCCAAGAGGTCTCCAAGAGGCCCTCCTGGAGAGCCCGAGGAAGCCAAAGCCATTGAATCCCCTGAGGTGTTGGAAGGATTATGAGGTTCTGGCATGTTCGGGTGTCCGACCGCCCAAGGCAGCCCAAGAGGCCACTCTGGGCCGTCTTGTTGCTCCCTAGGAGCTCTTCACGGCCGGCTTGGGGCCCTCTTTTGGGGCCCATTGGCCGATCTGTCCGTCTTCCTGGGCCGACTAGGGACCCTCTTGGGGGCTTCTTGGGCTGTCTCGGAGCTATCTTGGACGCCTCTTCAAAGCCTTTGGGCCGTCTTGGGTGGTCGGAAGCCTGAACAGGCGAGAACCTCAAAATCCTTCAAACACCTGAGGCAAATCAATGGTTTGTGTCCCCTCGGGCTCTGCAGGAAGGCCTCTTCGAGCTCTCTCGGGCCGTACTGGGCGCCTCCTTGGCCGTCTTGCGGCCTTCTTGGGCTATCTTGAGCCGTCTTGAGGCTCTCTCGAGAAGCTCTTGAGCTGTCCTAGGCCATCTTGACCCGTTCTGTTGTCGTTCTGACCGTCTTGGAGGCCATCTTGGCCGTCCACTCCGTGCATGCACTGTGGCGGATTACGATGAGTGACACGTAATGGTATTGCAAATCATGGGGTATAATTGCATAGCACAGCCATGTGTTGGCTCCTCTTTAACCTTAGCTAGTTCTAGCATGGTGGACCCTCCGTCCCATCAGCTGGGACGACGGCAGTCTTCACTCAACAGAACCTCCACCGGCACGGGAGGCGCCCGGCCGCTGCTGCTGGGCGGGCGTTCCGCAAAAAATCCTTCCGGGGAGCACCTGCTGCGGTACATCCTTCATTGATCCCGAACCCCCGCCGGTGCCTCCGAGGCTCAGGGTGATCTCCTCCCTTGGCACGTCCATACTCAGAGGAGGACGCGGTGAGACAACGGGAGTTTGCCTTCGGAAGAGCCCCTCGTCGCCACGGCGGAACGCAGCTTGGATATCTGGTGCGTTTGGACCCCTGGAGACGTCCATGGACCGACTTTGAGCTGCCGCTGTCTCAACTCGCCCTGCTTAGATCCTAAGTACTCCCTGCATCAACTTGCCGTTGATGGGCCGATTTGCCACCACCACTACCATAGGCGTAGGAGAGAGGGGAGGAGGAGGGAGGAGGAGGAGGAGGAGGAGGAGGAGGAGGAGGAGGAGGAGGAGGAGATGGAGGAGGAGGAAGAGGAGGAGGAGGAGGAGGAGGAGGACCAGATGGAGGAGGAGGAGGACGAGGACGAGGAGGAGGAGGAGGACCAGATGGAGGAGGAGCAGTAGGAGGAGGAAGAGGAGGAAGAGGAGGAGGAGGCGGAGAAGGACTCCGTCCTTGTCCTACCTATGGTAGCGGTGGTGAAAATTCGCCCATCAACCCTACCGTGGCTTTCGGGCCATGCCTGGCGCCATGTCTCGCGCGCTTGCGCTGCTTGTCGCCCCGTGGGCGCCGGTGTCGGCGCTGGCCCTGCAGACGGAGGGCCACGGCCACTCCGAGCCCAAGAAGCATGGCGCGGCGCACGCCCACGTCGCCAGCCACGGTCACAGCCATGGTCACAGCCACGTACACAGCCACGGCCACGGCGCCAAGGTCTGCTGGCGAGCCTGGGCGGGAAATGAGAAGGAGAAGGCTTTCTCAGAAGGCTCGGGAGTCCCCCGGCCCTGTGAGAAGTTTTTTGAGCCTTCCCCGAAGACACAAACAACGTCTCAGAAGGCGCGAAAGCTTCTGAGAAGTCCCGATGCCTTCTGAGAAGGCCTTCTCCTCCTCACTTCCCCCCTTCGCTCGCCGCCGATAAGGGCCATGGCCACAGCCAGGTCCAGGGCCACGGACATCGAGGAACAAGCAACGGCATAAACACAAACTCCCAGAGGTCTGCCCGGACTCCTTGGATCGGCGCTGGAGCTCCCTGGCGGCGCCGCCGACGCCGCCCTTGGCGCGCTCCGCGCGCCAGGGAGGGAGGTCCAGCGCCGATCCCAGAAATCAGCGCGGACCTCCGAAATATTATGGTTATGTGACTTTTTGTTTCTCGAGGACACGGCCACGGCGACAAGGCCCATGCCCGCAACACCAAGGCCAAGGTCCAGAAGTTGCTCAAGGACGAGCTCTTCAGCCCCTCCCATAGGTTCGCTGGCCAGGCTCGGACTGTGTCCGAGGGCTGCGACAGCTGGAAGGGGGAGGGTCTCCACTGCGAGACCGAGTTCCCCGAGCACGCCCTCGTGCGCGACTGGGTGCCCCCAGATGCCGTGGTCATGGAGTTCGGTGCGCGCTTCGGCACCACCAGCTGCGAGATCGCCCGCAAGCTCAACAACAGCGGCAACGTGGTGGTCGTGGAGCCCGACCTGAACGTGTGGGACGTCCTCGAGGCGAACCTGAAGTCGCACGAGTGCAACGCCCACTTGCTCCGTGGCGCGGTGAGCTCGGTGGACCTGCACATGGCGGCCAAGCTGAACGTGAAGCGCGGCTACTCCAACAGAGCGCTGCAGAAGGGTGGCGTTGTGGTGCCCGGCTACCACCTCCACGAGGTGGAGTCTGCCCTCGGCAAGAAGGTTGACACTTTGCTGATCGATTGCGAGGGTTGCGCCCAGGACATGATGGACCAGCTGGGCCCCGTCATCGAGAGCGGGCAGATCAAACTGCTGCTCATCGAAGGCGACATGCCGGTGGGGGCCAAGGACTGCCATTCTCACTGCATGGACTACAAGAAGTTCTTCGCCTACCTAGAAAAGCACGGCTTCGAGCAGGTCGACAAGTTCAACGACTGCGACATTGAGCGCACTGGCGCACCGAAGGGCAAGTGGTGCGGCAAGTGGATTGACCATTTCGCCTTCAAGCGCAAGTGAGCGTCGCCCGGCCAGAGCGCGCCGTCTACCGCCTTCGCTTCGGTTCGACCGTTTAAGCCTCCGTGCAACCGGCGTGGCGGGATCGCAGACGTAGCGCCGCGGCGGCGTGCGCTGTTCAGGTCGGCTCCAGGAGTCTCCGTCGGCTTCGCAGCGTCTCTTGCAGGAGCGTTCCAAGACGGAGGCAGAACAAGCATCGCAGAGCAGTGACCTTGCCAGGCACAGCGTATCATCTCGGTGCACAGCAGCTCACAGCAGTGTGCTGCAGGCTATCGCATAAGCGGCGACCAGGTCTCCAGGCCCTGGGGCGGCACTTTTCCAACCTCCCCCCCTTGTAACCCGCTGTGTGCTTGGGGCGGGGACCCATCTGGTGGCTTTCGGGGCGGCGATTTTGGCTTCAAGAGGCGTCCAGATCCAAATGCCGCCAGGAAGCCGCCACGATGGCCTGCACATGCCCAATACGGGCAAGGACGGCGTCACAATCACCCAATGATGCATCCACGATGGCCCAGTACGCCCCAAGACCGCTTGAAGAGTACCCCGACGAGGCCCCCAAGATCTTAAAATCATGGGCATCGGCTTTTTTTGCGTGGTGTCAGCATCTTTGCGCGCTCTCTTCGCCTTCAGAGCGTCCTAGACCGCCCAAGAGGCACCCGAGATCATTCCCAAACCCTGAAACAGCCCAAAAGGGCGCCACGGAGGCTCAAAGAGGGGCCTACGAAGGCCCACGAGGGCCTCAAGATGCCTCAACAGTCGGCTCCCTTGAGAGGGTCAGGACGGCCCAAGCGGCCCAGGACGAGCCGAGATAGGCCCAAGACGACGTAGGTATGACTCCCAGTGACGCCCAAGACGGGGCGCCAAGACGGACGAAGGGGCCCCCGAGACGGCTTCAAAACGGTAGACCCTTGAAACCCCCCAAAGACGGCCCCCCAAAATGGTCCCCTGACTTCCCGGCCGAACACGAGATGCCCCCACCAGACATTTTTGCACAGAGAAGGTGGGGATTCTTGAGGAGCCAGCCCCGACGCGGGACCGGGACCCCTCCCCCTCGCGGATGGCAGAGCAGGGGGACGCCGAGGGAAGAGATTTACAGGAAATGGATCACTGCACGGCCGTAGGCGAGGCGGCTGACGTGGAGGACACGAGGAGAAGGTGGGAGGAGGGGGAGGAGGTGGAGGAGGAGGAGGAGGAGGAGGAGGAGGAGGAGGAAGAGGAGGAGGAGGAGGATGACCAGGGCGGATAACCAGAGTATACGAATTGTGCACAAACGATGCTGCAAGACGCCCTCCAGTCCTGGGGCCCCTGCTCGCACGCCCCCCTGCGAATCTTCCTCTTCACTCCAGGGAGCCCCCCCCCCCCAGAGAGGCCGGCACGGTTGGGCCTGCCGTTTGAAGGCGGGGGCTCGGCTCGTAAGAGGAATCGCCTGGCACCCTGAGTGGCGCGCAGTGAAGAAAGCGAGAGACAGAGATCCCACAGCTCCAGGAGGTATACGGCGAGTTTCGACGAAGCAGAAACGCCATGAACACCAGTATTTTTGGCGCTCCGCGTGGATTCTCTTGGATCCGCGCTGGGGGCCCCTGGCGCGCTCCCCGCGCGCCAGGGGGGGGGGGTCTTCAAGGCCAAGAGGAATCCGCGCGGACCTCCAAAGGCTTCATGTTTCTGCCGTGTTGTCTTCCCCCAGTCCAGCGAGAGCTCAGCTTTCGAAGGAGGGCCGCCCCCCGCACTCCCTCCCCCCACCTGCGTAGTTGGAGTTTCGAAAAATGCTCGAGCGGCATCCCCCTCTTGAACAAAAAAAAGCCACGGATCCGCGCAGCGCTGCGTGCGCTGAAGCTCTGGGTCGAGAAACCAAGTGAAGTTTCAGGCTAGAGCTACATGTTGATTAAGAGTAGTCCTCCATCCTGGCGGAGCCACATTTTGACAGGGTGCCCTCCTCAACCCGTGAAGCTAGTGCAAGCGTATAAAGGGCATTGTTGCGACGCTGAGTTGTGAGCATCATTTACCCTCCCCTCCATCTTTGAAGTTGCGGCAATGCCTCAAGGCAGGTGTTTGCGGCGCCAAGGCGACAGCCAGATTTTGAAATGGATCCCTCTAGGTACGTGATGCTGTGGAGACGTGTCCGGTGAGAGTGCGCGGTGCCAAGGCGAGACCACCATTTTGAAGACGACCCCCCCCCCCTCCATCCTCGAAGCTGCCGCAGACATGTAAGACGACTGTGCCCGGCGCTTGGACGGGAGCCGCGTTCGGAAGAAGAGTGTGCGCGGCGGCAGGGCGAGAGCAACCCGTTGAACAAGGTCCGCCTTCCATCCGTGTGAGTGCAGCCACGTTTGACGAATGTGTGCGGCGATGGGGCGATCGCCTCGAATTGGATGCCTGCGTCTGACGCTCGCATTGTGCGGCTGTGCCACAATGCTTGTGCGTCCATCCATGGGGACAGGTCTGTGACCAGTTGCTATTGCAATTGTTTAATGGGTTTAATTTTTTTCTGTTCTTTAGCCCCCCTCCATCCTTGAAGAATAACCGAACACCGTCCTTGGTACGGATGCAAAGATGCATAGCGAACATGCGCGGCACTGAGGCGAGAGCCACATTTTGACAACCACCCCCAACCATCCATGAAGCTGTGGCACATTTCAAGCTCCAGGTTAGCAAGGTGTGAGAAGGTCTCAGTTGAAACGCCCAGCCCGATCTACCACCACGCCTGGGGGTGCGACAGGGAGGACTCCTTTATTAAGAACAGGATTGGGGAGGAGGGAGAGGAGGAGGAGCAGGAGAAGGAAGGAGAGGAGGAGGAGGAGGGGACGGAGGAGTTGAAGCAGACGATAGAGCAGGGGCACCAGCAGGGGCAAGGGGCAAGAGGAGCTGAGGGAGGGCGGCGAAAGAGGAGGAGGAGAAGGACCGCGAGCAGGGAGGCGTATTTGGCAGTGCACTAGGTGGAGGTTGGGGGAAGCGGGCCCCCCTTCATCCCTCATCCCTGTCTGGGCGACGGGAGGCGGGACGGGGAGGAGGGGGAGGAGGAGGAGGACGAGGAGGAGGGGGAGGAGGAGGAGTAGGAGTAGGAGTAGGAGGTGGAGGAGGAGGAGGAGGAGGAGGAGGATGAGGCTCGGGCGGAGGAGCACCAAGAACGGGGAGAGACGACTCCTTCCCATCGTGATCTTCTTGAAATGTGGCTCCCCAGAGGACTGGACCACGTCCTGGGAACCGGCTTTCAATCCTGAGTCGTTTTCTCACGGTCACGGGGCCCAGAGAGTTCGGTAGCAAATCATGGGAGTTTGGTATACCTTTTTAATTCCGTCTGTAACATCGATTAGTGTCGAGTAGCGTCTGGGAGTCAATGAGATAGCGCCTATTGATCGCCGGCTAGTCTCGATTAGCGTCGATTTAGCGTCGGTTTGCATCGATCTAGTGCAGCGTCGATTCGCAAGAGCCGACAAGCTGGTATGGGAGGCTCCCATGAGTTGCCACCGAAGGTGATCGCCCGTGGAGGTCGAACTTGTCCACAGACATTATTCCGCCGTGATTTTGGCCACCGGGGAGCGGAGGAGGTAGATTTTAGATGCTCGTTTGGGGGACCTCCCTGGGGCCCACCTAACGGATCTGTTCGACTTTAGTTCGACCCTAATTCGATGCAAGTTCCTCAGGTTCGACTCAGCTTCGATTCAAGGTCGACTCAAATCGACAACGGACGCTCGATGCAGCTTCGTCGCACGAGTGGAGCGACTGTCTCCACGAAGGTCCTCAGAACGAGCGTCCGGTTTCTGGCCACACCGTTCGGGAAACGATATTTTACAAGACGGGCATACTGGTCGGGCGCGCGCCTCCAAGGAAAACATGTAGTGCTAGTTTGTCTTGATTCGTCCCAGAGGGGGGAGATTCATTCACCCGACCGCCGGCCGCAGTCGTCGTTCGACGTCGACGGGGACATGCCCTACGGCGACCTGGAGCCGTTCGGCCGCGAGGACACCGCCCAGGAGCTCACGGAGGCCCCCGCCCCGTCCTCTGATGGGGCACCTTGTTGCCACCACTACCACGGGTAGGTCGGGGACGGGGAGCTCCTCCTCCCTTTCCTCCTCCTCCTCCTCCTCCTCCTCCTCCTCCGTAGCCATTTTGGCTCAAGCCAGCCTCGGGCGCGGGCGGGCGGGCTCGAGAAAATGGCACGGGCGGAGTCGCCGCGCGGCGATTCCAAGGCGGGGCAGCGGCGCTCGCGCGCGGAGCGCTCCGCTGCCAGGCGGCGTGCAGTGGCTGCTGTGGACCGCGGGCTCGGTGCGGCGCTGGCGGACGCAGCTCGGCTGCGTTCGGAGCTGGCGGAGGCACGAGCGCTGCATTCGGCGTTGCTGGAGGCGGTGGCCGATGGCGAGGTGGGCAGGCGGCTGGCGGCCGTGGCCCCCGCCCTCGCCGCCCTCCTGCGCGGGATGCAGCCCACGTCCACGCAGAAGCTGCGCAGGGATGTCGCGCTGCACGCGGCGGTGGGCGGGCTCGACGTGTCGATCGCCGACGACCGCCAGCTGCGGGCGGCGAGGCGCGGGCCTCGCTTGGGCCCGCAAGTGCATTCGGAGAGCGCCGTGCAGGTGTGCGTGGCGGAGGTCTGCGAGGAGGAGCCAGCAGTGCTTCTACCAGCAGCGGCGCTTTCGCGGCGCACGCCCCTGCGCTCAACCGCGACGCCGTACATCCCGGGGCCGTCTTGGGCTTGGGGCCAGCCGGCCCGCCTGCCGTCCTGTGTGGATGTCGCTGGGGCGGTGCTGGAAGGGCTCGGCTGTGGGCCCTTGGCCACGGCAGACAGGGCTGAGCCTGGCGCTCCCCGTGAAAGGGGTTGGAAGGCAGACGCGGGTGGTGCTGCAGGCAATGGGAAGCTGCCGCCGCCAGCGCATCCGGAAGGCCATGCTGAACTTCAGCGTGGCGCTGCAGTCGCGGGGGCGGCCTGGTGGAGAGCGCGGACGCACGTTGCCAGCGCCTGGCTCGGCGTGCCCAACACCGAGGAGGCCAGTGGAGACGCGGGCGCAGGCGAG